ACAAGGACATCAACACTTCAGCCTATTATAACAACAGTGAGAAGCAATTTAACTCTTTCAACATTGATAGTTATTAAAGCCATAAATATATCGCATTTGATTACAAGGGAGCAGATAGCTCCAGCACCAATTTTAGAGGAATTTCATAGTCTGGGAAGCCTATCATTGGAGGATAAGTCTAAGAGAGAAGTGGGGATTTTTTTCATGGTATGGTGTAAATTTTTTTGGCAGATCATATTGATAATATTACCTATACTTTGCAGGGTTTTGCAAATGAAACGATAAGAGGGTTTAACCTTCTGTCGAATACTCAAAGAAGTCACAGACTGACTGTCATGATCGTTAGACGGAGTAGACCAAGGCGCAGCGTGATGAACGAACATATTTTATTATCGTCAGTGATAATACAAACAAAACAATAAACGATACGTGCAGTCCTACGGTTAAACACAACCAACACGGAACAAACCAAACGGAACAAAATCCCACAAACACTAAGGGAAAACAGACTGTTTAAATATGGTTCCCAATCAGAGACAACCAGCAACAGCTGACACTCGTTGCCTCTGATTGGGAACCACTCAGGCCAACATAGAAATACAAGAACTAGATACCCGACATAGAACAACAACACATAGAATCTACACACCCTGGCTCAACATATAGAGTCCCCAGAGCCAGGGTGTGACACTGACGCTGTTGAAACATGACATGGCTCTTGACTATATTCTAGCAAAACAAGGTGGCTTATGTTTGGCTATGAATTTGACGGGGGATGATTGTTATACTTTGATTCCAGATAGTTCTGATAATATCACTAGTGTTATAGATGCATTGAAGAATATAAGGGATGCATTTGGTAGATCTGAAGGAGCTGGATGGTCAGCGAAGACTTGGTTGCAAGATCAGTTAGGCCCAGTGGGAGCAGTGATGGTTCAGATTTTAGTAGCAGCTTTGATAGCACTGTGTGTGATGTTTTGCTTTTGTACTTTGTTACTGACCTTTGCGAAAGCTATGATATTGAGATGGGTTGGAGTTGTGATGCCTGAAGACAACACTCAGATGCCGTTGTTGACTGTTCCTGATCTGGATGAAGATGGACAAGTGGGACTGGATGGAGTATTGATGGATAAATATCCTTTTTGATTATTTGATTATTTTTCAAATGTTTTTCAATATTAGTGTGATTTTAGTATTTTGTTATGAATCAAAGGGGGGAAATAGAATAATGTGATTCATTCATATATCATTTATATCATTTTTTATATTCTTAGTTGATATTGATGTTTTAATTTGAATGTGTTGTTTTGCAAAAGATACTGTTTGGTCTTTTCTTTTCTTCCAGAAGCATTTGGGGGAATATGTAGAGATTGAAATACTCAAACAAGGACAATATGAAAGGACAATATGAAAGGAGAATATGAAGGGAAAGGAGGAGATGGAACAAGGAAGGTGTGGAAATGTTCCGATTCCATCATCAACGATGCATTGGAAGTCGAGACTGCTGAGGAAATGAAGTGTAGTGGACTACATTCCAGTGTCTGCAATGAAATATAGACAAATTTGCATGTGTAATACATAATTTGTGTCATATTCTTTCTGTATTAATTTTTGTAGAATGATATTTGATGTTATTGGATACATGTGGGGATCTTAGATGTTTTTGTTTATTTCGTGAATGCTTAGGGACATGGAGTCTAGGCAGGGATAGAGATAATCCACCGTAGGGTCGACCAGCCTGAGAGTGGACATTTTGGATAGTATTTTGTTTGCTGGGGCTTTCATGTGTATTTAATTGCATCATAGTTTCAAATGCATTGATAAAGATTTATGAATTGATCTGGAGTACCTAGGTGGTTGCCTGGGGCAGAGGGGCCGTGAGAGAATTTTACTGTCTTGATTGATGGATGGATATTTGGAAAGAAGGCTGCCAGACAGGTTTTTCGCTCTCACACTTCATAAAGATTTGTTCATATTTCATAGTAATGTATTCACACTTCATAAAGATTTGGTCATATTTCATAGAAAGGTATTTACACTCCAGAGAAAAGTGTTTTGGGTTTATTGTTAAAGATACTCAATAAGAGAGATTGTTACTTGTCATAATCCTATTCTTTTTGTTTTCGAGACTTTTAGTTAGTCTCGAAGGGGGGAAATATGTAGTGTATTAAGAATTATGACTTTGCTAATGTTTTCAAGTGGAACCTGAGAGGATGTTTATTCAGTTTCAGAGGGAGTTGTTTTAGAGTGACTCCATAGGACGGAGGGAGTCTATGTGTTGTAGACAGGGGATTGGACAGTAGAGGGAGCCACCCATATTTTGGGGAAGATTATAAATAATTGGTTTGAGACAAAGAAGATCAGAGCGGACATTGTAATTTGGAAAACACTGCTCTCCGGGTGATCATGACATCTGTAAAATTATGCTGAAATCTTGTGATATGACTAAAACTTATGATCAAAGTTCAGTATAAGTGGACTCCTTTGTTTAACAGCATAATTAGCAACATTGACTCGACACTACATGAGGTACAGGGCTCTTCATCTCTCCACAATTTAATTGGGAAATCGCTCATTAACAGAAAATTGTGTTCTTCAGCTCCCTACCCTGTTGTAGAAAGACAATCATAATTTTGTAGTGAGTGAGCCTAGCTACTATCAGACAGTGCCCACTGGTGTAAAGTTCTTCAGTAAAAAATACTTTGAAATACTACTTAAGTCGTTTTTTTGGGTATCTGTACTTTACAATTTAACTTTTACTTCACTAGATTCCTCAAGACAATAATGTATTTTTTACTCCATCCACTTTCCCTGACACCCAAAAGTACTTCTTACATTTTGAATGCTTAGCAGGACAGGAACATTGTACATTTCAAGCACCAGAGATATACAAACTGTAAAATATTTTTAAAATAATGTGCACTTGAACCTTTTACTCCATCTCAACTGTTGCTGCTCAACACCAACTAAAAAGGATCCTGGGTCCTCCATCTTTATTAACACTTTAGGTGATTTTATTTGATATAATATACACAAATGTGCTAATTAAATAAAATAATCAATTGTAGTGCTCTTGTTCGCATTGATGTGTACGATTCAGGTTCGAGCATTTCAAAGTGTTGATCAATAAATAGTTGAAGGTTCTCTATATTATCCAGAATGTTTGTTTTACAGTTATCAGATAATTCTCAATTTCACAATTAATTCATGGGTCAAGCTGTGCCTACCATGCTGCCTCTTGCCACATCATTTCCCCCCTAAATAACTTGTTACCCTTACCTGAGAGTGTGGAGAAGATGAGGAGGAGGATGGAGAGGGAGAGATGAGAAGCCATTTCTGGGTATGTGTCTCCGTATGTTATATGGTACCAATGCACAATGTGTGTGTCAAGGACCAAGGCACCAAAGAGAATGACTGAACTTCCTAATAGCTATAGCTGTCTTTAGCTCTCTTCCTGCTTCTGTTTGAGTGTAGTGCCCCTCCGTGGCAGATAGAAACTATTACATTCTATGAACTAGTTGTAACATAAGGCTCTAAGGCACTACAACTGATTGATGAATTATTAACTGGCAAAACTACACTTACCTGGCCAATAGCAATATATAACCTCAAATCGAGGACTAAGGAAAAGCGGCCTGAAGGAAACATTTATACTCCTCCTGAATAGAGTTTTGCACCGGAGTTGTAAACTCTCTGAGGGGCACTAGAACCTCAAGGTGACGCATACTTTGCAGACTATTCCATGTCTCTGGTGCACAATAGAAAAAGGTAGTCTTGTCTAACTGGGTAACGGCCCTGGGGACATTAATTAGCAACCACCTAGTAGACCATGTCTGGTAACTGCTAGTGGTGAAGGAGAACAGGCTACAGAGGTAGTGGAGGAGTTTACTCAGAAGGGCTTTATATATGAACACATACCAATGTAGCTGTCTGCCCATGTAAAATGAGGTCTAGCCCACCATTTGATACAAGGTGCAATGGTGGATGAGCGACTTGGCATTTGTAACAAAACACAAGGATGCGTGTTAGACTGAGTCACAGAGGAGGCTTAATGCATGTACATTAAGTCACTATAATCAATTACTGAAAGAAAAGTAGGTTGAACAAGCCTTGTTGCGATAAAATAAAAAACCCAATTTCAGATTAAGTTTCCTCACAAGATTATCCATATGAACTTTGTAGTACAGTTCACTGTCCAACCATATACTGTACCTAGTTATCTGTAGGATGACGCCTTTTTAATGGAGCTAAAATGGAGCCCTGGGGTACACCTCTAGTAATCTAAAAGGAAGCTAGACTTGGGATTCTCAGCATAGACGCATTGTGTTCTGTCTGTGAGATAGTTTCTTAACCAGTTGACAGCCCCTTCAATGAGACCAACGTTATTGAGTCTGTCTTGCAACAGTTTGTGGTCAACAAAAGCCAGACTGAACCCCACACAGGATGTTGTTTCAAGTAGGAATTTATTTAGCTGAGCGTTCTCTAGAGATTCAAAGACTTTGACCAGGATATGGAGCTTGGAAATAGGTCAATAGTTATTTAAAAATGAAAGGTCTCCACCCTTTAGTAGGGGGTGAACATATGCTGATTTCCACATTTTGGGTATTGAATAGTAAGAAAAAAACTGTTCATGTTCATTAACAGTTCATGCATATATGGTACTTGTCAGCACACAGAACTCAGAAACAATGTATTTGGGCAGAGACACAACTTTCTAAGAATATCTTAATACATTTTAAAGTTTAATAACAAAGCATGCATTTCTTTTAACATATAAAGCAGACAGAACAGTACGTAAGACTATGATTCAGAAAAAAATATCAACTATGAAACAAATCATATGTGGGCAACAACATACGGACTAAAAAGTCAAATTTGGTCAAAGTTTCTTATTTTGTGTGTTTTATCCCTGAAAAAGCAGGTGCAAGAAGTAAATCTGTCCCTTGGTCTCACCAGAGAGACCTGTCTGGTTTCTACTCATCTTTAGTTTTACCTTGGAGTCAGTTTGCCCTGAACTTCACCACAGCAATGATGGTGCACAGGAGGAAGAGCACTGCATTTCCAATTTTTGGCATGTAGAAGAATGTTCTCTCCCATCTGTAGAATAATTAAAAGATTTAGAACATGTTCCTCTGTAAATTGCTGTAATACAAGGATTTTTTTTTAAAGGGGAATCGTAAAGGGAATTTTTCCTTTTTTTGACAGTTTGCAGCAGCAGGGATGATTTTGACGGCACATGGTCTTTAATGAGTGTGGATCATTGAAGGTGGTGACTAGGAAACCAGCTATCACCACTACCAACATGCCCAGAGGAATCAATAGGACTCTTAGATCTATGGAACTGACGGTGAAAATCTGTTTATTGTAAAATATAGTCCATGAAACATAATAGATTAATAGACATGTTTGTGCTGCTATGACGAAATTGAATTATTTGTTCAGCTCTTCACACCTTTCATGTGTGGAACTTGGCCATACAAGAATAGAATGCTGCTACTTCAACAACTACAGAGATACGAGGAAGTGGTAAATGTCTCTGTCTCTATGATGGTAAATGTCACTATAACAGTGTCTTGGCCTGTACTCGGTGTGAAGATGTTTAAGGAAGGTGGTTTTGTACCATACACTCTAGTGTGAAAAACAGAAAATGTTACCTTTCTTCATATTTCTATTGTTATCCATTTGGAAGAGTAAGTGTGAAATACAGCTGAATGAGTGATAATTACATAATGGTGTCCTTCTCCTTGCCCCCCTCAGGTCCTTGGACTGTGTTGTCAGTCTGAACAGGCTCAGCAGTTGGAGAGAAAGAGGATTGTTCAGTGGTTGGAGCTTGGGTTGCTGTGAGGTAAAAACAACAATGGTATTACGACTGGTGTACCAGAGAGACACAGGGTAGACTGAACTGTAACAAGACATTGTAGCTAAGATATGACCTTCTTGTCCAGCTTATTTCATTTGCCCCAACATGTGGATTTTGTTGAGTTCAAACCCATGGTAGGACCACTAAGTTTTCCCAAAAGCTTTTTATCAACAAAGTCAAGAAAAGCTTTTAATTTTAATAAATGTAATACTTTGGTTAACATCCCTGTTATTGAGCATTTCTCCCTTGCCAATATAATCCATCCACCTTACAGGTGTGGTATATCAAGTACCTGATTAAACAGCATTATCATTACACAGGTGTAACTTGTGCTGGGGACAATAAAATGCCACTCTAAAAGGTGCAGTTTTGTCACACAACACAATGCCACAGATGTCTCAAGTTCTGAGGGAGCGTGCAATTGGCATGCTGACTGTAGGAATGTCCACCACAGCTGTTGCCAGAGAATTGAATGTTAATTTCTCTACCGTAAGCCGCCTCCAATGTCTTTTTCGAGAATTTAGCAGTACGTCCAACCGGCCTCACAACCGCAGACCACGTGTATGCCGTCGTGTTGTCGAGCGGTTTGCTGATGTAAACATTGTGAACAGAGTGCCCCATGATGGCAGTGGGGTTATGGTACGGGCAGGCATAAGCTATGGACAAGGAACACAACTGCATTTTTTCGATGGCAATTTGAATGCACAGAGATACAATGGGGAGATCCTGAGGCCCATTACCGTGCCATTCATCTGCCGCCATCACCTCATGTTTCAGAATGATAATGCACGGCCCCAAGACGCAAGGATCGGTACACAATTCCTGGAATCTGAAAATGTCCCCGTTTTTCCATAGCCTGTATAATCACCAGACAAGTCACCCATTGAGCATGTTTGGGATGCTTTGGATTGACGTGTATGACAGTATGTTCCAGTTCCCGCCAATATCCATTAACTTTGCACAGACATTGAAGAGGAGTGGGACAACATTCCACTGGCCACAATCAACAGTCGGATCAACTCTATGCGAAGGAGATGTGTCATGCTGCATGAGGAAAATGGCTGTCACACCAGATACTGACTGGTTTTCTGATCCACGCCCCTACCTTTTTGTTAAAGGTATCTGTAACCAACAGATGCATATCTGTATTCCCAGTCATGTGAAATCCATAGATTAGGGCTAATCATTTATTTCAATTGACTGATTTCCTTATAAAGAACTGTAAATCAATAGAATCTTTGAAATTGTTGCATGTTGCATTTATATTCTTGTTCAGTATATTAACATCATAGTGATCAGAATAGCAGCCTTACCTTGGTCTGTACATTTAGCTGGTTCCTCCTCTTGGGGACAACAGTGCTGTAAGTCACATCATCACCATTGGCAGGAAATGGGTCCTGCTGGTAGAGACACACAAAGGGGGTTGATGATAAAAACTCATCATCAGTCTACATGTATGAGATACCTTTGGATATTTACATAAAACAAATACATGCCTTATATTGTGGATTAACAACATTAAGATATGAGCTTTCTTCCTCTCAAACAGCACAGTGTCAGTCAGGTTAAATAGGAACAGGACAGAGAAGCAACATAGGCCTACTGTGTCTGCAAAGCTCAACAGGAAATCACAACACCTTAACCTCAGCCTTCTCATTATTAGCTCTACACTGCAAACAGAAAAGGTTACATTTCTTCACATTTCTATTGTTATCCATTTGGAAGAGTAAGTGTGAAATACAGCTGAATGAGTGATAATTACCTCATGGTGTCCTTCTCCTTGACCCCCTCAGGTCCTTGGACTGTGTTGTCAGTCTGAACAGACTCAGCAGTTGGAGAGAAAGAGGATTGTTCAGTGGTTGGAGCGTGGGTTGCTGTGAGGTAAAAACAACAATGGTATTATGACTGGTGTACCAGAGAGACACAGGGCAGACTGAACTGTAACAAGAAATTGTGGCTAAGCTATGACCTTCTTGTCCAGCTTATTTTATTTACCCCAACATATGAATTTTGTTGAGTTCAAACCCATGGTAGGACCTCTAAGTATTCCCAAAAGTAACAATCATATTTGTTTCAGATGATAAGCCAGCAAGACTGGATAAAACCAGGTTAATACTTAATTATACAGTATCTGATTGCTCTCTACTCACTGGTCATAGTGGTGGTACTTTGTGTGGTGGTTTGTCGTCTGACAGTACACACACCAAAGAAGGTTCTGAGTGATCAAGTGGTTTTTTGTAACAACTGAACACAAATATCATAATTATGATATGATGGATAGAGAACAGAAAGTAGACATATACCAACATTCCTCATGTCAACTTGAACAATAATAGTGATACCAGTAAATGAAACCAGAACACCAGTCATGTAATCATATGTAAGAGTTGCAGGACTCTTACCTGGAGTGACAGATAGGTCGAACCATTCTGTCAAGACATTTTGTCCAACATTGATCTCTACAGCACAACAGTAACGACCAGAGTCCTCTGGCTCCAGATCAGTCATGGTCACAGTGACGGTTAGCTGGTTGATGTAATCAGAGATTGAGGCCTTATCTGTGCTCTTAGGAGGTTCAGCGTGTACAACAGGGGAGCATCTTTGCAAATCATCTATTTTACACAAGTATTTCACATGGGTTTTGTATTCCTGATGATAGGGACATGGGATGGTGGAGGAGCCTCCTGTCTTCACAGACACACGATAAGCACCTGTAGACACAACAACAGAAAACACATTAGATTGGAATTCAAGCAAATTCTCACAGCAGAATAATTACATTATCTGGACTATAACAAACATAATTGTCACGAGAATTTATATCTCAATCTTTCAAAAATGAACGTAATACTCAGTCTGTATCCCAGAGGTTGTAAATCTCTAATAATCATATCAATTAGCCCAGCATACAATCATCAGGCTTAATTCATGAGAACGTTCAGCAACAAAATGGTCGTACAATACTTTTATACACACACATCATACAAATATCCCACCCCGCTCTAGGCGGGCTGTTTTTTTCCACTGTACACATCTTGTAAGCACACACCTGGGTTCAGCTCATGTGATTTTCCTCTGCTCTCCTGACAATCAGGTCACACGCACACACATAAACACATGTTCTTATCATTTTCCTACTCCTTGCTCGGGCAGGCTGCATACTTCAGTTATCGCATCCTCACAATATCCTGCAAGCCTTTCACTCCCCTTTACCTGTGTGTTTTGGGTACCAGTCTATACTCTGTTGCTGGGATATAAACACATTTGATTAATTATCTAAGCTCTAGTCTACTAATTAGTCATACATTATTAGTTTAACTGAGGGTGTGACATTTTAGGCATATCTTACTCACTCATTTCTTTATCAATAATACAGTAAGTGTAATTGATAAGACAAGCTACTGCTCCTGTCTTCAGAGTGTCAGCATGTGTCCAGTCCCAGTCCCTGACCTCAACTTCAGCACTTCATAGAAACATGTTACCCTTTTTTTGTTTTTGCTCATCCACCCCCCACCTCCTCGGAGGATAAAAATATTTTTGTTTGTACAGCAAATAAAGTGAAATCTTTTTGATCATATAATTTGAAAAACATATCGTTTGGCGTAGGCAGGGCCATAAGTAAATAGGTAAACTGGGATATGCCTAAACAACTAAAAAGGGTGATTTTTCCACCAATAGACAGGTATTTACCATTCCATGGTAGCAAGATCTGATCTATTTTTGCTAACTTTCTATTAAAAAATGTTGTAATGAGTTCATTTATTTACAGAGTATGTCCACTTCATTGTCAGACCGTTGTATTGGTAAACTACACGGTAATCTAAAAGTGGTATTTTTTTATGATCCAATATGTACAGTGCCTTGCAAAAGTATTCATCCCCCTTGGTGTTTTTCCTATTTTGTTGCATTACAATCTGTAATTTAAATGGATTTTTATTTGGATTTCATGTAATGGACATAGACAAAATATTCCAAATTGGTGAAGGGAAATAAAAAAAATTCTACAAAATAAATAACGGAAAAGTAGTGTGCGCATATGTATTCACCCCCTTTGCTATGAAGCCCCTAAATAAGAGAGAAGAGTGATGTATTGTACACATACAGTAGTAATATATGGTCTTGTCTGTTTCTTTGTTGAGAGATTAGCATCCTCTGTGTAGGTACATGAGAGAGAAGATAAGTCAACACTGACCTGTGTGGTGTAGGGCTAGTGAGCTGTAGACCACATTATCATCTGGTTCTGCCTAGAAGAGAGGAGGGACACACACAGGTAGAGAGGTGAAGAGGGACAATCTGTGATGATGGAATGTAGACTACAGCTCGGAATCACTGCAAACATTTGTTGCAGAATAGCTGAAACGGGATGAGATACATTAAGACACTTAAACTCAAAATGTTTACAGCATAACACATTTTCAGTGTCTACACCCTAAACACCAATGACTGCCAAAGCACGGACCACAAAACCCTCCTTTTCAAGTACTCATCCGTTACCCAATTCAACAACTACCTGGATGTCAACGTCTCCAAAACAAAATAATATTAACCATTGACTTTCCCAAAAACCCCACCTGTGACGGCTCTATCCTCATCAACAGAGAGGCCGTTGAAATGATTATTTCATTCAAGTACCTCCAATTTACAATAGACCACGAGCTAACCTTTGATCAAAACACCACAGAAATAACAAAGAATTCCCAGAAACGTCTGTCTGTTATCAGGCGTCTGATCAACCTGTCTGTCAAACCCAAACTCCTTCTGCTACTCTACCGGAGCATCATCACCACTACTCATCTACTGAAGTATCTGCTACCACAACCTGCTCACAGTCTCACACCACAATAAACTATTAAGGATCACCAACACAGCATCTAAGCTGATTGGACTCCCCAATCAAAAGCGGTCCCTTCTTAATGAACGAGCTATCCAGAGTAAAGCCCCCCACATGATCTCCAGCCCAGACCACCCACTTCACCATTGATTTGATCTTCTCCCATCAGGTTGAAAATATTGGACTCTTTAATGTCTCACTGCAAGCTTCAGGAGGAGTTTCATCCCAGGGACAATGACAATTCTAAACAGATCCATGTATCTTCCTCCTATGGGCAGGTGGGTGGTACTATTTCTGTACGACTGTTGTTTGTTTCCTGATGTTCCTCTTGTAGGACAATAAACCTGATTCTGATATGTGACTTCATCTATAACCCCATGCACCAGTCTGCCACATAGCCAATAGAACAACACAGATACAATTTCATCTATTAACATCATAGTGATCAGAATAGCAGCCTTACCTTGGTCTGTACATTTCGCTGGTTCCTCCTCTTGGGGACAACAGTGCTGTAAGTCACATCATCACCATTGGCAGGAAATGGGTCCAGCTGTAGGGCTAGTGAGCTGTAGACCACATTATCATCTGGTTCTGCCTATAAGAGAGGAGGGACACGGACACACAGGTAGAGAGGTGAAGAGGGACAATTTGTGATGATGGAATGTAAGGCTACAGCTTGGAAACACACAGGAATAGGTACATAAAGGCTGGCAAGGCTGCCGGCCCAGAAGGCATCCCTACCCGCATCCTTAGAGAATACTCAGACATATTAGTCATTAAGGAGACACTCTTATCCAGAGTGACTTACAGTAGTGAGTGCATACATTTGTAATAGTTTTTTTCACACTGGTCCCCAGTGGGAATCAAACCCACAACCCTGCAAACACCATGTTCTACCAACTGAGCTACACACTTCCTGGGGTCCACACAAAACATGATACATGAGATAATACAGAACATTAATAGACAAGAACAGCTCAAACACAGAACTACATACATTTTAAAAAGGCACACAGCCTACATATCAATACATACACACAAACTATCCAGGTCAAATAGGGGAGAGGCGTTGTGCCGTGAGGTGTTGCTTTTATCTGTTTTTTGAAACCAGGTTTGCTGTTCATTTGAGCAATATGAGATGGAAGGGAGTTCCATGCAATAATGTCTCTATATAATACTGTACGCTTTCTTGAATTTGTTCTGGATTTGGGGACTGTGAAAAGACCCGTGGTGGCATTTCTGGTGGGTAAGTGTGTGTGTCAGAGCTGTGTGTAAGTTGACTTTGCAAACATTCATGTTTTTTACCTGACACCCTAGACCCACTTCAATTTGCATACCGCCCCAATAGATCCACAGACAATGCAATCAACATTGCACTGCACACTGCCCTATTCCATCTGGACAAGAGGAATACCTACAGTATATAAGAATGCTGTTCATTGACTACAGCTCAGCCTTCAACACCATAGTCCCCTCCAATTTCATCATAAAGCTCGAGGCCCTGGGTCTGAACCCCGCCCTGTGCAACTGGGTCTTGGACTTCCTGACGGGCCGCCCCCAGGTGGTGAACGTAGGAAACAACACCTCCACTACACTGATCCTCAACAAAGGGGCCCCACAAGGGTTCATGCTCACTCCCCTCCTGTACTCCCTGTTCACCCATGACTGCGTGGCCAAGCACGCATCCAACTCAATCATCAAGTTTGCAGACGACACAACAGTAGTAGGCCTGATTACCAACAATGACGAGACAGCCTACAGGGAGGAGGACTCTGGCGGAGTGGTGCCAGGAATAGAACCTCTCCCTCAACGTCAACAAAACGAAGGAGCTGATTGTGGACTTCAGGAGACAGCAGAGGGAGCACGCCCCCATCCACATCGACGTGACAGCAGTGGAGAAGGTGAGAAGCTTCAAGTTCCTCGGCGTACACATCACTGACAATTATAAATGGTCCACCCAGTGTGGTGAAGAAGGCGCAACAGCACCTCTTCAACATCAGGAGGCTGAAGAAATGTGTCTTGGCCCCTAAGACCCTCACAAACTTTTACAGATACACCATTGAGAGCATACTGTCGGGCTGCATCACCGCCTGGTATGGCAACCGCACCGCACGTAACACAAGGGCTCTCCAGAGGATGATGCGGTCTGCCCAACGCATCACCAGAGCCACACTGCCTGCCCTCCAGGACACCTACAGCACCCGATGTCACAGGAAGGCCAAAAAGATCATCAAGGACATCAACCACACGAGCCACGGCCTGTTCACCCAACTATCATCCAGAAGGCGAGGTCAGTACAGGTGCATCAAAACTGGGACCGAGAGACTGAAAAACAGCTTCTATCTCAAGTCCATCAGACTGTTAAATAGCCTTCACTAGCCGACCTCCACCCAGTACCCTGCAATGAACTTAGTCACTGTCACTAGCCTTCTACCACCCGGTTACTCAACCCTGCACCTTAGAGGCTGCTGCCTTATGTACATTGACATGGAGTCACTGGTCACTTTAATAATGGAACACTTGTCACTTTAATAATGTTTACATACTGTTTTACTCATTTCATATGTATATACTGTATTCTAGTTAATGCTATTTACATTTACATTTTAGTCATTTAGCAGACGCTCTTATCCAGAGCAACTTACATTTAGTTAGTTACATTATTTTTTGTATTTATTTATTTATTTATTTTTTCATACTGTCCCCCCGTGGGAATCGAACCCACAACGTGGCGTTGCAAACGCCATGCTCTACCAACTGAGCTACATCCTACTCAAATATTTCTGTATATATACTATTCTATCCTACGTATTCTACAGATATACTAAATATTCTATCCACATACTGTCCATAATGTCTATAATGTCTATACATCCCATCACATATATATATATATTTATACTCCAGACTCCGACATTGCTTGTCCTAATATTTATCTATTTCTTAATTCCATTCTTTTATTTTTAGATCTGTGTGTATTGTTGTGAATTGTTAGATATTATTGCACTACTGGTGCTAGGAACACATGCATTTCGCTACACCCGGAATAACAACTGCTAAATGTGTGTATATAAAATAGAAATTGATTTGATTTGATAAAGACATTACAACTCAAAAATGTTTACAGCATGTGTCACAAATACACTATGTGGCCAAAAGTAAGTGGACACCTGCAAGAGCATTAGTGAGGTCGGGCATTGATGTTGGCAAATTAGGCCTTGCTCGCAGTTGGCGTTCCAATTCATCCTAAAGTTGTTCTATGGGGTCGAGGTCAGGGCTCTGTGCAGGCCAGTCAAGTTCTTCCACACCAATCTCGACAAACCATTTCTGTATTGACCTCGCTTTGTGCACAGGGGCACTGTCATGATGAAACAGGAAAGGGCCTTCCCCAAACTGTTGCCACAATGTTGGAAGCACAGAATCGTCTAGAATGTCATTGTCTGCTGTAGCATTAAGATTTCCCTTCACTGGAACTAAGGGGCCTCGCCTGAACCATGAAAAACAGCCCCAGACCATTATTCATCCTCCACCAAACTTTACAGTTGGCTCCATGCATTGGGGCAGGTAGCGTTCTCCTGGCATCTGCCAAATTCAGATTTGTTCGTCGGACTGCCAGATGGTGAAGTTTGATTCATCACTTCAGAGAACGCGTTTCCACTGCTCCAGAGTCCAATGTCGGCGAGTTTACACCACTCCAGCCGACTCTTCACATTGCACATGGGGCTCCCGACGAGTTCTTGTGCTGACATTGATTCCAGAGGCAATTTGGAACTCGGTATTGAGTGTTGCAACTGAGGACAGATTATATTTATGCGCTACACTCTTCAGCACTCGGCGGTTCCGTTCTGTGATAACAGCACTTACAGTTGACCGGGACAGCTCTAGCAGGGCAGAAATTTGACAAACTGACTTGTTGGAAAGGTGGCATCCTATGACGGTGCCACGTTGAAAGTCACTGAGCTCTTCAGTACGGGTCATTCTACTGACAATGTTTGTCTATGGAGATTGCATGGCTGTGTGTTCGATTTCATACACCTGTCAGCAACGGGTGTGGCTGAAAAATTCACACATTTAAGGGGTGTCCACAAACCTATGGCCATGTAGTGTATGTGACTTCATCTATAACTTCACTAGTCTGAAACATAGCCGACAGTACCGTCCTCACAGCCGCAGACCACGTGTATGCCGTCGTGTTGGCAAGCGGTTTGCTGATGTCAACGTTGTGAACAGAGTTCCCCATGGTGGCAGTGGGGTTATGGTACGGGCAGGCATAAGCTATGGACAAGGAACACAATTGCATTTTTTCGATGGCAATTTGAATGCACAGAGATACAATGACGAGATCCTGAGGCCCATTACCGTGCCATTCATCCGCCGCCATCACCTCATGTTTCAGAATGATAATGCACGGCCCCAAGACGCAAGGATAGGTACACAATTCCTGGAATCTGAAAATGTAGTAACCTGCAAACTCACCAGACATGTCAACATTGAGCATGTTTGGGATGCTCTGGATTGACGTGTATAACAGTATGTTCCAGTTCCCACCAATATCCAGCAACTTTGCACATACATTGAAGAGGAGTGGGACAACATTCCATAGGCCACAATCAACAGTCTGATCAACTCCATGTGAAGGAGATGTGTCGTGCTGCATGAGGCAAATGGTGGTCACCAGATACAGAACGGTTTTCTGATCCATGCCCCTACCTTTGTTTTGAAGGTATCTGTGACCAACAGATGCATATCTGTATTCCCAGTCATGTGACATCCATAGATTAGGGCCTAATACTTTATTTCAATTGACTGATTTGCTATAATCTATTAACTGTAAATCAGTAAAATCTTTGAAATTGTTGCATGTTGCATTTGTATTCTTGTTCAGTATATTAACATCATAGTGATCAGAATAGCAGCCTTACCTTGGTCTGTACATTTAGCTGGTTCCTCCTCTTGGGGACAACAGTGCTGTAAGTCACATCATCACCATTGGCAGGAAATGGGTCCTGCTGGTAGAAACACACAAAGGGGGTTGATGATAAAAGCTCATCATCAGTCTACATGTATGAGATACCTTTGCACATTTACATAATCCACAATATAAGGCATGTATTTGTTTTAACAACATTGAGATATGAGCTTTCTTCCTCTCAAACAGCACAGTGTCAGTCAGGTCAAATAGGAACAGGACAGAGAAGCAACATAGGCCTACTGTGTCTGCAAAGCTGACCAGGAAATCACAACACCTTAACCACTGACCTCACTACAGATCCTATTATTAGCTCTACACTGCAAAACACTTATAGAAACTGAAATCACACTGAATATAGAGTTAACATATATACATTGTACAGTTACAATACAATGGACATTACGCTTTAGCTGAAGGGCTAATGTGTTGTTTTAAGTGCATCTTATGTCCATGTCCTGCATTTTTCACAGACAGGGTCGGTCTTACCCACAAGGCCTTGAGTCAGATGAGAGGAACATGAGTGTAGCCTACCACTGAGGTGTTTGTTTTCTGGTCCATGGCCTTATTGTCCTCTGGAATAAAGAAAGAGAGATGCAGTATTAGAGACCTCTGAGATACACTAGAATAATACTGAATACATTAATCATAGAATAGTTATACTTTTGAGTCTCCTCCTCATATGTCAAGATACATTGGTTATAACATAGGCTAATACAGTTGTCTTCAAGGAAAATATTGATTGTCTCATGAAAATATCTCCAAAATCAAACTCAGCACTTTTCCAATATAATATGCCATTTAGCAGACGCTTTTATCCAAAGCGACTTACAGTCATGCGTGCATACATTTTTGTGTATGGGTGGTCCCGGGGATCGAACCCACTACCTTGGCGTTACAAGCGCCGTGCTCTACCAGCTGAGCTACAGATGAATACATTACATTACATTTACGTCATTTAGCAGATGCTATTATCCAGAGCAACTTACAAATTGGTGCATTCACCCTATTGCCAGTCGGATAAACACTTTACAATTTTTATTTTATTTTTTAGGTTATTTATTGTTTAATTTTTTAAAATCTTTTTTTTATATATATTTTTTTCTATTATTATTATTATTATTATTATTATTATTTTATTTTATTAGGGTTACTTTATCCTATCCCAGGTATTCCTTAAAGAGGTGGGGTTTCAAATGTCTCCGGAAGGTGGTGAGTGACTCCGCTGTCCTGGTGTCGTGAGGGAGCTTGTTCCACCATTGAGGTGCCAGAACAGCGAACAGTTTTGACTGGGCTGAGCGGGAACTATGCTTCCGCAGAGGAAGGGGAGCCAGCAGGCCAGAGGTGGATGAACGCAATGCCCTCGTTTGGGTGTAGGGACTGATCAGAGCCTGAAGGTATGGAGGTGCCGTTCCCCTCACAGCTCCATAGGCAAGCACCATGGTCTTGTAACAGATGCGATCTTCAACTGGAAGCCAGTGGAGTGTGCGGAGGAGCGGGGTGACGTGAGAGAACTTGGGAAGGTTGAACACCAGACGGGCTGTGGCATTCTGGATGAGTTGTAGGGGTTTAATGGCACAGGCAGGGAGCCCAGCCAACAGCGAGTTGCAGTAATCCAGACGGGAGATGACAAGTGCCTGGATTAGGACCTGTGCCGCTTCCTGTGTAAGGCAGGGTCGTACTCTCCGAATGTTGTAGAGCATGAACATGCAGGATCGGGTCACTGCCTTGATGTTAGCGGAGAACGACAGGGTGTTGTCCAGGGTCACGCCAAGGCTATTCGCACTCTGGGATGAGGACACAACGGAGTTGTCAACCGTGATGGCGAGATCATGGAACGGGCAGTCCTTCCCCGGGAGGAAGAGCAGCTCCGTCTTGCCAAGGTTCAGCTTGAGGTGGTGATCCGTCATCCATACTGATATGTCTGCCAGACATGCAGAGATGCGATTCGCCACCTGGTTATCAGAAGGGGGAAAGGAGAAGATTAGTTGTGTGTCGTCTGCGTAGCAATGATAGGAGAGGCCATGTGAGGATATGACAGAGCCAAGTGACTTGGTGTATAGCGAGAATAGGAGAGGGCCTAGAACTGAGCCCTGGGGGACACCAGTGGTGAGAGCATGTGGTGCGGAGACAGCTTCTCGCCACGCCACTTGGTAGGAGCGACCGGTCAGGTAGGACGCAATCCAAGAGTGAGCCGCGCCAGAGATGCCCAGCTCGGAGAGGGTGGAGAGGAGGATCTGATGGTTCACAGTATCAAAGGCAGCAGACAGGTCTAGAAGGACAAGAGCAGAGGAGAGAGAGTTAGCTTTAGCAGTGCGGAGAGCCTCTGTGACACAGAGAAGAGCAGTCTCAGTTGAATGACCAGTCTTGAAACCTGACTGGTTTGGATCAAGAAGGTCATTCTGAGAGAGATAGCAAGAGAGTTGGCTAAAGACGGCACGCTCAATAGTTTTGGAGAGAAAAGAAAGAAGGGATACTGGTCTGTAGTTGTTGACATCAGAGGGATCGAGTGTTGGTTTTTTGAGAAGGGGTGCAACTCTCGCTCTCTTGAAGACAGAAGGGACATAGCCAGCGGTCAAGGATGAGTTGATCAGCGAGGTGAGGTAAGGGAGAAGGTCACCGGAGATGGTCTGGAGAAGAGAGGAGGGGATAGGGTCAAGCGGGCAGGTTGTTGGGCGGCCTGCCGTCACAAGTCGCAAGATTTTATCTGGAGAGAGAGGGGAGAAAGAAGTCAAAGCATAGGGTAGGGCAGTGTGAGCAGGACCAGCAGTGTCATTTGACTTAACAAACGAGGATCGGATGTCGTCAACCTTCTTTTCAAAATGGTTGACGAAGTCAAGACTATAAGACACATAATACAGGAAGTGTTATTGATAAGACAAGCTACTGCTCCTGTCTTCAGAGTGTCAGCATGTGTCCAGTCCCAGTCCTTGACCTCAACTTCAGCACTTCATAGAAACATGTTACCCTTACCTGAGAGTCTGGAGAAGATGAGGAGGAGGATGGAGAGGAAGAGATGAGAAGCCATTTCTGGGTATGTGTCTCCGTATGTTATATGGTACCAATGCACAATGTGTGTGTCAAGGACCAAGGCACCAAAGAGAAAGACTGAACTTCCTAATAGCTATAGCTGTCTTTAACTCTCTTCCTGCTTCTGTTTGAGTGTATATGCCCCCCTCAGTGGCAGATAGAAACTATTACATTCGATGAACTAGTTGTAACATAAGTCTCTAAGGCACTACAACTTATTACTTTATTTCATTTAATTAGCACATTTGTATATCTTATATCAAATAAAATCACGTATAGTGTTACTAAAGTTGGAGGACCCATTGAGACCAATGTTACTGAATCTGGCTAGCAACAGTTTGTGGTCCACTGAATCAAACTGAATCAAACACTGCAGCACAATGTCGTTTTTCAATAAGTTCATTTATGATGTCATTCGCCGCTCACATTTGCCACACCTCAGAAACAATGTATTCTTTAGGCCTACTGTCAATAAGGCTCACACAAGATAGTTTGAATTTCTATGAAGCAGGTGGTCTTTATTTGGCCTTTATTTGAGTGTCAAGGATTCCAAACAGTGTTTTTGTAAAACATGCAGAACCAATGAATGATCATAATAGTGCCATGTTATGGGACCAATCCTGTTCCTTCTTGTAGTTTCTCCTAGGGAGCTGGTTCATAGTAGCTCTCATTCATCTCCATATAGTCATCCTTTGCGTGGCGCAAAGCGACGATCCCAGATTCTTCCACCAACGTCCTTTCATCCTGAAGTATGTTTTGTCTGCTGAAAAACTGTTTTCTGTCGTCTGCTTGACATTCTGTTGATGCGCCTGGAATAATGATGGACACCCTAAGCAAGACTGTATACTGAGAAAATAGGCATCTTTGAGCAAAGCTAGAACAGCAAGAGGGAGGAACTTGCATACTAATTAATAGGCTCCTCCTCTTCTTTGGGCTAAGACTTGACTACACTTCCCATAATGTAACAGTGTTGATGTGCAGACCCCATCTATAGTGAATTGTGGCCACATTCAGTGAGATAAGCTGTTTCTGGATACTGTTTAACGAGAGTCATGTTCACTTTGCATCATATTATATATTTTGTTGGGTCTTGTCCAATAAGAAATTATATTTTTTGTTTACAGTTTGGCTACGGTGTGTCCTACTGAACACGACCCAGGTTGATTCACTTTGTAGTACTCCAGCACATTAGTACAGTGTTTTTGGACCATTCTCTCTCGGCTCTCTCCCTGTCTCTGTCTGTTCCACTGAAGTAGTTACTTACATGACGTGTCTTCACTGTCAACCGGTGCGGGTGGCTCACGAGGCAACATGACATTCTGCTGTATTGGCCTCAAGCAGTTCTGACGCCACGTGACATGGACAGAGAGGACAAGACAGAGAACAGTTATCACCATTACCAACATCTTCACCCAGATTCACTGGAATCAACATCACAATTAATGTGCATTTGTGAGAATGTGAAATTGAGACACTATACTTTAGAGAATTGTATTTCAAAGTTTTTCCAATGTTCTCCCACAACAAAATGCTCCAATATTATATTATATTTGCCTAATTATGATCTTCAAGATTGAGAGAGCAGAGAGGACAGAGTGGTCTCCCATCTCCTCAAAGTGTATGGTCCTTGAAGGCATCCTCGCGGTATAGGATGTTTGCCCAGTGTCAGATGGCATCCAAGAGCGGAATATAGAGAGACTTGTGTGAACTCTGAACCCTTACCCTACCTCATGTCCTCGCGCAAAGCAGTGTCCTTCTTCAGACAAAAGCCTGCCACGAAACATAAATTGAAAATGTGTCACATTTTTAATATTGAGTTCATGATATTGAGTTCCGCGTGCTGTTGCAATTAAAATCCTATAGATGGCAGTACAGTTTTGGATAGAGCCTTACAGTATGGACAGCACTGACTTCTCCACATCCTGTGTTGTGGCATTATCTCTCTGCTGGAGAAGCTAATCTTCTTCTCCACAACCTTCAGCTCTGGACAGACAACACACTTTCACTCATAAATAAATAAGAGAGTAGAAATAAAAAATATTGCACACCTGAAGAGTACATGGGTACTCCAGCACACAGTTTAGTGAGAACATTTATGAACATGTAACGTTCCGGTCAAAGAGACCTTTGCCAAGACATTCATTAGTAGCCTAAATATTCTGTTTGGCAAACGGTGTACAGGCCTACAGGAGACACACAACCAAACCACATGCTGCTAAAAGACGGATATAACGCTTTTACATTAGTGCTGCACTTGTGGACATATATTATGTAAACTTTAAGGAAAACATTTTTTTTATATATATCCACCTCACTCCTCACAACACATGTTCATAACTTTTGAAATCACTGTCCATGCACACCTGGGTGTAAATTAGTAATTGGTTAGAATGATAACATATTGCACGAATGATTAGACTATGGCTACATGTGTAGACTTTAGATGCTGTCCATGTAGGCTATAAAGTCACAATCAATTGATAACTGTCCTAGTCCGTTGTCCTAGTAACAGAATGGATACAGGTGACGATGGAGGTGCAAAGGCTTGACATGTTTCATCAAGACAATATATACTGTGTTATATTACTCTACTCCTTTTCAAACAGCAGGCTTTGGAGAGCTAAATCGCTCGAGCGCACAGTTTGAGAGCTGCGTGGTCTTGTCCATGTGGCCCTGGCAGTGGCTGCGCCGATCTCAGCAGCAAAACAAACTCCATGCGGTGGATTAATAGTCTCGAAAACCCAACCTGACTGGTCACTGTTGCCTAGGGTCAGGTTTTTGAGACTAGTGGATTAGTCGCGCCAAATAATTAGGTATGTGTTTCAGATTGTTGTACGAAAACAAAATGGCCACCACCGGTCCCGGCTCTAACATCAACAGCGTCGCCACGGGCAACAAGCCCTTCTCAGTGCAGAGGGTATGCACGTCGGACCTGAAGTCGTTGCAGCAGTGTGTCCTGGGGGAGGAGGAGGGAGGAAGAGGAGGACAAGGGTGTCTGGAGAGGTTGGAGATCATCCTGGACGATGAGGACGGCGGCTGCGACTTCGTGCTGCCCGATTGGCTGAGAGAGGGGGCGTGCGTGACGGTGGGAGCCAATAAGGGCGGGACGGTGCGCTACGTGGGCAACACAGAGTTCGCAGAGGGCATGTGGGTCGGGGTGGAGCTCGACTCGCCCTCAGGTAAGAATGACGGCTCCGTAGGCGGGCGCTACTACTTCCGCTGTAACCCTGGTTACGGCGTCCTCGTGCGTCCCGACCGAGTGTTCCGACGGGAGCGTTCCACCAAACGGAACCCGGAGAATCGGCGCAGCGGCGAGTTCTGCCAACCCGTTCTACGGGGAGAGTCCACTAACAGGAGAGCGGAGAACCGCAAGTCCTGGAGCAGTTGAACTGGAGAGAAACAGGCCTGGGTGGGAGAGCATAATTCCACACACCACTTTGTCTCCTGGCTTGGATCAACTAGAAAACCCACACACCCTTTTTATCCTGTTTTTAAGCCTCAGTCTCACTCAGACTCCTCTATCTATGCAATACTACTGCATCTAATGTAGAAACGGTCCCTGTCCCCTTCCCACCATCCACCCACAGCTTGGCAACACTACTTCAGTACTGTGCCCTCTCCTGGCCAAGCGATGCTAGGCTGGGTTTCTGTAAAGCACTTTGTGACATCTACTGATGTAAAAAGGGCTTTAGAAATACATTTGATTGATTGATTGATTGATTGTACTTACGTTGAGGTTGGATTCAGTGTGGCACACCTTGACCATCCAATCCCAAAATAACTGCATAAAGACTGGTCTGGTTACATAATAACCTACATTAGGATTTGTTATTAGGCTACTGGCTCATTGTAATTTGTTTACTACATGTAGTACATGTGTAATAAGTGTGTGTGTGTGTGTGTGTGTGTGATTATTATTTAACCCTGCTGGTCATCTATAAACGTTTGAACATCTTGGAGAAAAATCTGCCCTTATTGACCATGTACTGTTATAATCATTCCACATTTCCAAATTATTATGTCCATTATCAATATTGATTGGAAAACAAATGGGGGCACCCATCTGAGTGTCATTTGTCATTTTATGAATGGAAACTTTGTAACCGCTGATTTTACACGTTTCCACAATACTGCCGCATGTAGGTTTAACTTTATTTGATGGACAGCAAATTGTCCAATAGTGGCACTCTCTTGAACAGGAAGTAAAATGACAGTCGACCAATAGGTCTCACATACATTTACGTTCCTTTTCCCTCTCTGGTTTTGTCACGCCGGGTTGTTCGCTCAAAGGTGAGATATTTCATAAACTCTACTCTTTTACACAAATAACTGAAATACTGCCAGGCTTTTGACGTGGAGAAACATGAACATAGATACAGCGGTAGGTTTATGTACTACCTCAAGACAGGTCTACGCTAAAAATAAATATTGCAGCCAAACATTACACAGGAGAGAGACAGCCTACGCAATCGGCCCTTCTGTTTTTTTTTATTAGCTCTTTACTGACAGATTTACCCAGTGCTTTAGAATGTATATGTGGCTGGCTGGCTTCCAACTGACCCTGGCTGGCTTCTTTAGACATCAATGACACTAATGCATGTCTGTAGAAGTCGCACCTTTACCTTCAATTTTAAGTTCAACTGGTCTTTAACTTTACCTTGAGGATTTATGAATGAATTGTCCCGTTCGATGAATTGTATAATCATTTTACAGTATGTCATTAAAGTATAATATAGGCCTATGAGATTATCATCTATTCTTAATGTAGGCTAACATTATTTTTGCAAATACATGAATTGCCTATGTCCATTGTTGGTCAAATTCTAACTACATTGAGCATTTATTTTCATTGTAAAATCTTGCACTTGGAAAGCTTTATGCCTCTATAATTTGGACAGTGCAGTGAATGAAAAAATATTATATAGCATAGCATGTGACATGTGTTATCAAAATCCAATGTCTTGTGTGACATTGCAGTGAAGGACTCCACATCTGGTCACATCATTGATGTGTGGATGATTTACCCACCATGATCAATGCAATGCAATATGTCATGCAACACACTCTATACTGTAGGGGTACCTGATGTCCTAGGGACAGTGAGACTATACTGTAGGGGTACCTGATGTCCTAGGGACAGTGATACTATACTGTAGGGGTACCTGATGTCCTAGGGACAGTGAGGCTATACTGTAGGGGTACCTGATGTCCTAGGGACAGTGACGCTATACTGTAGAGGTACCTGATGTCCTAGGGACAGTGAGACTATACTGTAGGGGTACCTGATGTCCTAGGGACAGTGAGGCTATACTGTAGGGGTACCTGATGTCCTAGGGACAGTGAGACTATACTGTAGGGGTACCTGATGTCCTAGGGACAGTGAGACTATACTGTAGGGGTACCTGATGTCCTAGGGACAGTGAGGCTGTACTGTAGGGGTACCTGACCTACTAGGGACATGTGTATATACAGTATATATTATATTATAAATTCCTCACATGTGACTAGTAATAAGACTAAGCAATTAGCCATTTAAAATGTTTATCTGACTCCATAAAGATGATTTAGCAATATGCAAGAACACTATAGTTGAGTTACAGTAATAGGCAGTCAAGAAATGTCTGAGAATGGAATTCAAGTGTCTTTAATTACTTTGGAAAAACATTAACAAGCATCACAAGGCATTATTCTAAGCGTAAACAAAGAGATGCCTAGAAGCCTAGGAAATGAGAATTGATCGTACAACCTTCCTCCATGAACTGGATACAGGATAAGAGAGTGAACAAAGGCATTTAATTCCATTTATAACATCTGAAGGTGTCACCTTTCAATCCAAAACCAACCACCATTGACCAATCAAATGATACCACGATTACACTAACCTAAACACTCCCAGGCACAATCTCCACAGGGTGTCACAGCTTTTAAAGGCTTGTGTGGGGAATGAGACCAATGTAAACGAGACAGAATTCCTGAGAAGACAATCAAACACCTTTGCATAATAGAGTAATTCAGAGTTACCACAGAGATCATACATCCAAATAGATGGCATCAGAGTTATCTTCAGTGAACAAGTTTCAGAGAGATACCAAACATGGATACTATAGCATTATTCTGTCACAGTAGTCAGTCCTTTGGATACTGTAACAGAGAGATATATTTTGGCCCCTCAGAGGGGGAAGGACTGTGTCATTATCGTCGGGAACAGAGGAGGACCAAGGCGCAGCGTGGAATGCGAACATATTTATTAATTGATGATCACACGAACAAAACAACAAAACGAAAACGTGACGTCCCTGGTTACATTCACAAACCAACACAGAACAAGAAACCACACCAAATGAATGCCTAACGGCTACTTAAGTATGGCTCCCAATCAGAGACAACGAGCTACAGCCGTCTCTGATTGGGAGCCACCCTGGCCAACATAGAAATAGAACAACAACTAGAACAAACACAAATGAAAACTCACACCCTGGCTCAACATACTAGAGTCCCCAGAGCCAGGGCGTGACAGTACCCCCCCTTAAAGGCGCGGACTCCGACCGCGCCAACCAAATACCACAGGGGAGGGACCGGGTGGGCACTCCGCCTTGGCGGCGGATCCGGCTCCGGGCATGATCCCCACTCCCTCTCTATCCCCCCAAAGTACCCCTGGTCCGGTCTGGCCCTGCTGACCAGAGCTGGACTGCACACTGGTGGAGCGGATTGCTCTAGCTCCGGCGTGAAGCAGCTGACCCGTGCCGAACCAGGCACCGATGGCACAGGCACAGGCTGTGCCGGACTGACGACGCACACCACTGGCTTGGTGTGGGGAGCAGGAACGGGCCGAGCCGGGCTGACGAAACGCACCCCTGACTTGGTGCGGGGAGCAGGAGCGGGCCGGACCGGGCTGACAAAGCGCACCACTGACTTGGTGCGGGGAGCAGGAACGGGCCGAGCCGGGCTGACGAAGCGCACCACTGACTTTGTGCGGGGAGCGGGAGCGGGCCGAGCCGGGCTGACGAAACGCACCACTGACTTGGTGGGGGGAGCAGGAGCGGGCCGAGCTGGGCTGACGAAACGCACCATTGGCTTGGTGCGGGGAGCAGGAACAGGCCGGACCGGGCTGACGACGCGCACCATTGGCTTGGTGCGGGGAGCAGGGACGGGCCGAACCGGGCTGGCGACGCACACCACAGGCTCGGTGTGGGGAGCACCACTGGCTTGGTGTGGGGAGCAGGAACGGGCCGAGCCGGGCTGACGAAACGCACCCCTGAGTTGGTGCGGGGAGCAGGAGCGGGCCGGACCGGGCTGACGAAGCGCACCACTGACTTGGTGCGGGGAGCAGGAACGGGCCGAGCCGGGCTGACGAAGCGCACCACTGACTTTGTACGGGGAGCGGGAGCGGGCCGAGCTGGGCTGACGAAACGCACCACTGACTTGGTGGGGGGAGCAGGAACAGGCCGGACCGGGCTGACGACGCGCACCATTGGCTTGGTGCGGGGAGCAGGGACGGGCCGAACCGGGCTGGCGACGCACACCACAGGCTCGGTGCGAGGGACAGGAACAGGCCGGACCATACTGGGGACACACACCACTGGCCCTACGCGGGGATCAGAAACGGGCCGGACCGGACTGGTAACACACCCCAGTACCCCTCGCCGTGCCTCTACACTTTCCTCCCCTTTTGTGACGAGTGGCCCCCGTAACCTGGCGGCCTCCTCTACTAACCGCTCCATCGCGGCCCCCTGCTGCCCCGTCGTCCACGGCGTGAGCCCCCCCCCCCTAAAAAATTCTGGGCGTCTCTCCTACCCGTGGACCAGGTCTCCATGGTTCTCGCCCAACTCTCGCTCTTCTGCTTCCAAGTCCTCTCTGGCGTTGGCTCCTGGACACGCTGCTTGGTCCAGTTATGGTGGTTTCTTCTGTCATTATCGTCGGGAACAGAGGAGGACCAAGGCGCAGCGTGGAATGCGAACATATTTATTAATTGATGATCACACGAACAAAACAACAAAACGAAAACGTGACGTCCCTGGTTACATTCACAAACTAACACACAGAACAAGAAACCACACCAAATGAATGCCTAACGGCTACTTAAGTATGGCTCCCAATCAGAGACAACAAGCTACAGCCGTCTCTGATTGGGAGCCACCCTGGCCAACATAGAAATACAACAACTAGAACAAACACAAATGAAAACTCACACCCTGGCTCAACATACTAGAGTCCCCAGAGCCAGGGCGTGACAGACTGACTAGTCCTTGGGCATTGTCCTTTGTGCATTCCTTGTGTTCCTGGACAATTTGCCATGCAACTCCAGGTAACAGAGAGAACAGAAAGTAGGGCCGAGCCTACAAATCCCCCCTGGACAGAAGCTGTACATGGACAGCCTGTGTCCAATATAGGAAGAAATGGCCCGCACCACACGAGAATTCCTTCTTGAGTCTTCAGTCCAACTTATGGAACCTAACTTCTAGTCCTTGGGCCCATGCCATCTGGAGGGTCTTCCGGGGAATCGTTGACAATGTGCATTCCTTCAACCAAGCTCAATGAAATATAATTATTTGTTGAGGGTAGAAAGATTAGTTCAGTCAGTTCTCAACATTTGATGAAACATTATTACAGTCAAGAGTTACTAGTCACTGTTTGGCTTTGTATGTTGGTCAGATTGGTTGGTCTGGTCAATGGTATCCTCAAAGTTTAGCAAGTATGAATCAGATGGATATTAAATGGAATGAAAGGCCATTAAATGCATAATTAAAGTTATACTCTATCAAGTGTTAAATTGCACTTTTCTTTGAGAAAGACAGAAAGTTTAATTGAAAGAGCCTCTCCCCTCTGGAAGTTTGCCTTGAAAATATGAAAACCCTATTGATGAAAACAAATCAACCCAAGATCAATTCTTGAGTTTAGATGAATAGAACCAGAACATAATAATAACATCATGTTAAAAGCAAAAAACGATGTTCTGTAAAACAGTTAAATAACAACATTAAAGGTAGTGGCACATATGTCTATGTGTAGTAAGAATTAGCAAATATGAATAATTCAGTCATTTGTTAACCCAATCTGATCCCCCCCCCCAAGTTGAAACCTGTCCTATGCGTAACCAAGACAACCACAGCATAATAAACTCTCATTGTGTGTAGGCCAGTGACATAAAATCTGATTTTAATCCATTGTACATTCAGACGGTAACACAACAAAATGTGGAAAAGGTCAAGAGGTCTGAATACTTTCTGAAGGCACTTTAGCTATAGTTGTCTTTAACTCTCTTCCTGCTTCTGTTTGAGTGTATATGACCCCCTCAGTGGCAGATAGAAACTATTACATTCTATGAACTAGTTGTAACATAAGGCTCTAAGGCACTACAATTGATTACTTTATTTAATTAGCACATTTGTATACAGTGGGGGGAAAAAGTATTTAGTCAGCCACCAATTGTGCAAGTTCTCCCACTTAAAAAGATGAGAGAGGCCTGTAATTTTCATCATAGGTACACGTCAACTATGACAGACAAAATGAGAAAAAAAATCCAGAAAATCACATTGTAGGATTTTTAATGAATTTATTTGCAAATTATGGTGGAAAATAAGTATCTGGTCAATAACAAAAGTTTCTCAATACTTTGTTATATACCCTTTGTTGGCAATGACACAGGTCAAACATTTTCTGTAAGTCTTCACAAGGTTTTCACACACTGTTGCTGGTATTTTGGCCCATTCCTCCATGCAGATCTCCTCTAGAGCAGTGATGTTTTGGGGCTGTCGCTGGGCAATATTGGGTTAACAAATGACTGAATTATTCATATTTGCTAATTCTTACTACACATAGACATATGTGCCACTACCTTTAATGTTGTTATTTAACTGTTTTACAGAACATCGTTTTTTGCTTTTAACATGATGTTATTATTATGTTCTGGTTCTATTCAATACGGACTTTCAACTCCCTCCAAAGATTTTCTATGGGGTTGAGATCTGGAGACTGGCTAGGCCACTCCAGGACCTTGAAATGCTTCTTACGAAGCCACTCCTTCGTTGCCCGGGTGGTGTGTTTGGGATCATTGTCATGCTGAAAGACCCAGCCACGTTTCATCTTCAATGCCCTTGCTGATGGAAGGAGGTTTTCACTCAAAATCTCACAATACATGGCCCCATTCATTCTTTCCTTTACACGGATCAGTCGTCCTGGTTCCTTTGCAGAAAAACAGCCCCAAAGCATGATGTTTCCACCCCCATGCTTCACAGTAGGTATGGTGTTCTTTGGATGCAACTCAGCATTCTTTGTCCTCCAAACACGACAAATTGAGTTTTTACCAAAAAGTTCTATTTTGGTTTCATCTGACCATATGACATTCTCCCAATCCTCTTCTGGATCATCCAAATGCACTCTAGCAAACTTCAGACGGGCCTTGACATGTACTGGCTTAAGCAGGGGGACACGTCTGGCACTGCAGGATTTGTGTCCCTGGCGGCGTAGTGTGTTACTGATGGTAGGCTTTGTTACTTTGGTCCCAGCTCTCTGCAGGTCATTCACTAGGTCCCCCCGTGTGGTTCTGGGATTTTTGCTCACCGTTCTTGTGATCATTTTGACCCCACGGGGTGAGATCTTGCGTGGAGCCCCAGATCGAGGGAGATTATCAGTGGTGTTGTATGTCTTCCATTTCCTAATAATTGCTCCCACAGTTGATTTCTTCAAACCAAGCTGCTTACCTATTGCAGATTCAGTCTTCCCAGCCTGGTGCAGGTCTACAATTTTGTTTCTGGTGTCCTTTGACAGCTCTTTGGTCTTGGCCATAGTGGAGTTTGGAGTGTGACTGTTTGAGGTTGTGGACAGGTGTATTTTATACTGATAACAAGTTCAAACAGGTGCCATTAATACAGGTAACGAGTGGAGGACAGAGGAGCCTCTTAAAGAAGAAGTTACAGATCTGTGAGAGCCAGAAATCTTGCTTATTTGTAGGTGACCAAATAATTATTTTCCACCATACTCAAATTCATAAAAAATCCTACAATGTGATTTTCTGGAATTTTTTTCTCTCAATTTGTCTGTCATAGTTGACATGTACCTATGATGAAAATTACAGGCCTCTCTCATCTTTTTAAGTGGGAGAACTTGCACAATTGGTGGCTGACTAAATACTTTTTTTCCACACTGTATTTTATATCAAATAAAATTACGTATAGTGTTAATTAAGATGGAGGACCCAGCAGCCTTTTAGTTGGTGTTGAGCAGCAACAGTTGAGATGGAGTCAGAGGTTCAGGTGCAAGAAATATATTTATAAACTGGGTTGTCGAGAATGGCCTTTACTGAAGAGCTCAGTGACTTTCAACGTGGCACCGTCATAGGACGCCAACTTTCCAAGAAGTTTGTCAAATCTCTGCCCTGCTAGACCTGCCCAGGTCAAATGTAGGTGCTGTTATTGTGTAGTGGAAATGTCTAGGAGCAACAACAGCTTAGCTGTAAAGTGGTAGACCACACAAGCTCACAAAATGGGACCGCCGAGTGCTGAAGTGTGTAGCGTGAAAAAATCGTCCTCAGTTGCAACACTCACTACCGAGTTCCAAACTGCTTCTGGAAGCAACGTCAGCACAAGAACTGTTCGTCGGGAGCTTCATGAAATGGGTTTCCATGGCCGAGCAGCCACACACAATTCTAAGATCACCATGCGCAATGCTAAGCGTCGGCTTGAGTGGTGTAAAGCAAGCCGCCATTGTACTCTGGAGCAGTGGAAACGCGTTCTCTGGGGTGATGAATCACGCTTCACCATCTGGCTGTCCGACGGACGTTTCTGGGTTTGGCGGATGCCAGGAGAACACGACCTTCCTAGTGCAAAGTTTGGTGGAGGAGGAATAATGGTCTGGGGCTTTTATTCATGGTTCGGGCTAGGCCCCTTAGTTCCAGTGAAGGGAAATCTTAACGCTACAGCATACAATGACATTCTAGACAATTCTGTGCTTCCAACTTTGTGGCAACAGTTTGGGGAAGGCCTTTTCCTGTCTCAGCTTAACAATTTCCCCGTGTACAAAGCGAGGTCCATACAGAAATGGTTTGTCGAGATCGGTGTGGAAGAACTTGACTGGCCTGCAAAGAGCCCTGACCTCAACCCCATCGAACACCTTTGGGATGAATTGGAACGCTGACTGCGAGCCAGGCCTAATCGCCCAACATCAGTGCCCGACCTCACTAATGCCCTTCTGGCTAAATGGAAGCAAGTCCCCGTAGCAATGTTCCAACATCTAGTGGAAAGCCTTCCCAGAATAGTGGAGGCTGTTATAGCAGCAAAGGGTGGACCAACTCCATATTAATGCCCATGATTTTGGAAGGAGATATTCGACAAGCAGGTATCCACATACTTTTGGTCAAGGCTTAGGGCTGTATCCAGGCACACCGCGCTGAGTCGTGCATAAGAACAGCCATTAGCCATAGTATATTGACCATATACCACACCCCCTCGGGCCTTATTGCTTAAATATGTATTTTACAGTTGAGGTGATGAAGACTGGATCCAGAGGTTGTATTTAAAAAAAGCTACAGATGACAAAAATTATGAAAAATAACTAACTTTCAAAAGGAATTCTCTTACTTAGCCAATAGCAATACAAAACCTCAAATCAATGACTTAGGCAAAACAGCCTACATTAAACATTTACACTACTACTGAACAGAGTTTTAACTCGGTAACGGACCTTGGGACTTTAAGTAGCAACCACCTAGTAGAGCGTGTCTAGTAACTGCTAGTGGTGAAGGAGAACAGGCTACAGAGGTAGTAGGGGAGTTTACCCAGAAGGGCTTTATATATGAACACATACCAATGTAGCTGTCTGCCCATGTAAAATGAGGTGCAGCCCACCATTTGATACAAGGCGCAATGGTGGGTGAGCGACTTGGCATTTGTAACAAAGCACAAGGATGCATGATGAGGCTTCCATGCATGTACATTGTCACCATAATGAATTACTGAAAGAAAAGTGGCTTGTATAAGCCATGTTGCAAAAAAATAAAAACCAATTTCAGTTTAATCTTCCTCAAAAGATGATCCATATGATATTTGTAGTACAGCTTCTTGTCCAACCATATACCTAGTTATTTGTAGGATGACACCTTTTTAATGGGGCTAAAATGGAGACCTGTTGTACACCTCTAGTAATCTGAAAGGAAGCTAGACTTTGGATTCTCATCATAGACAATTGTGTTCTGTCTGTGATATTCACGGCCCCTTCAATGAGACCAATGTTATTGACTCTTGCTAGCAACAGTTTGTGGTCAACTAAAGCCAGACTGAACCCCACACAGGATGTTATTTCAAGTAGGAATGTATTTAGCTGAGAGTTCACCACAGATTCAAAGACTTTGACCAGGATAGGGAGCTTAGAAATAGGGCAATAGTTATTCACATCTGAAGGGTCTCCAACCTTTAGTAGTGGGTGAACATATGCTGATTTCCAAATTCTGGGTATTGAATAGTTAATTAACATTTTAAAAATACTTTTTTTTCATTTCTGCCTAATCATTAACAGTACAAGCTTATATGATGCTTGCAAGCACACACAATTCAGAAACAATGTATTTGGGCAGAGACACAACTTTCTACGAATATCTTCATAGATTTTAAAGTTGAATAACATTGCATGCATTTTTAACATATAAAGCAGACAGAATAGTACAGTAAGACTATGATTCAGTAAATTAGATAAACTATGAAACAAAGCATATATGGGCAACAACATATGGACTAAAAAGTCAAATTAGGTCAAAGACATAGGTAAAATGTACCATAAATGAACAGTTTCTTATTTTGTGTGTTTTATCCCTGAAAAGCAGGTGCAAGAAGTACATCTGTCCCTTAGTCTCACCAGTGAGACCTGTCTGGTTTCTACTCATCCTCAGTTTTACCTTGGAGTCAGTTTGCCCTGAACTTCACCACAGAGTCAGTTTGCCCTGAACTTCACAACAGCAATGATGGTGCACAGGAGGAAGAGCACTGCATTACCAATTTTTGGCAGGTAGAAGAATGTTCTCCCCCATCTGTAGAGGAATTAAAAGATTTAGAACATGTTACTCTGTAAATTGCTGCAATACAATATACAAAAAAAGAAAAAGGGAATTGTAAAGGGAAGACTACCTACTATACCAGTCAAAGGTTTGGACACACCTACTCATTCCAGGGTTTTTCTACATTGTAGAATAATAATGAAGACATCAAAACTATGAAATAACACATATAGAATCATGTAGTAACCAAAAAAGTGTTGTGGAATTTCTTTCCTTCTTAATGCGTTTCAGCCTATCAGTTGTGTTGTGACAAGGTAGGGGTGGTATAAGGGAGATAACCCTATTTGGTAAAAGACCAAGTCCATACTATGGCAAGAACAGCTCAAATAAGCAAAGAGAAACAACAGTCCATCACTACTTTAAGACATGAAGGTCAGTCAATCTGGAAAATGTCAAGAACTTGAAAAATGTTTCTTCAAGTGCAGTCACAAAAACCATCAAGCGCTATGATGAAACTGGCTCTCATGAGGACCACCACAGGAAAGGAAGACCCAGAGTTACCTCTGCTGCAGAGGAAAGTTCATTAGCGTTAACTGCACCTCCGATTGCAGCCCAAATAAATGCTTCACGGAATTCAAGTAACAGACACATCTCAACATCAACTGTTCAGAGGAGACTGTGTGAATCAGGCCTTCATGGTCGACTTGCTGCAAAGAAACCACTACTAAAGGACACCAATAAGAAGAGACTTGCTTGCACCAAGAAACACGAGCAATGGACATTAGACCGGTGGAAATCTGTCCTTTGGTCTGATGAGTCCTAATTTGAGATATTTGGTTCCAACCGCTGTGTCTTTGTGAGACGCAGAGTAGGTGAAGGGATGATCTCAGCATCTGTGGTTCCCACCGTGAAGCATGGAGGAGGGGGTGTGATGGTGTGGGGGTGCTTTGCTGGTGACACTGTCAGTGATTTATTTAGAATTCAAGGCACACTGCAGCATTCTGCAGCAATACGCCATCCCATCTGGTTTGCGCTTAATGGGAGTATCATTTGTTTTTCAACAGGACAATGACCCAACACACCTCCAGGCTTTGTAAGGACTATTTGACCAAGAAGGAGAGTGGTGAGTGCTGCATCAGATGACCTGGCCTCCACAATTACCCAACCTCAACCCAATTGAGATGGTTTGGGATGAGTTGGACCGCAGAGTGAAGGAAAAGCAGCCAGCAAGTGCTCTGCATATGTGGAACTCCTTCAAGACTGTTGGTAAAGCATTCGAGGTGAAGCTGGTTGAGAGAATGCCAAGAGTGTGCAAAGCTATCATAAAGTAAAAGGGTGGTTATTTGAAGAATCTAAAATCTTAAATATATTTTGATTCATTTAACACTTTTTTGGTTACTACATGATTCCATATGTGTTATTTCATAGTTTTGATGTCTTCACTATTATTCTACAATGTAGAAAATAGTAAATAAAATAAAGAAAGACCCTTGAATGAGTAGGTGTGTCCAAACTTTTGACTGGTACTGTATTTCTAGAGGCAGTGCCTTTGGGAAGTATTCAGACCCCTTGACATTTTACAGCCTTATTCTAAAATTGATTCAATACATTTTTTTCCTCATCAATTTACACACAATACCCCATAATAACAAAGCAAAAACAGCTTTTTATAATTTTGCTGATTTATTACAAATACAAAACTGAAACATTGCATTTAGATAAGTCTTCAGACCCTTTACTTAGTACTTTGTTGAAGCACCTTTGGCAGCGATTACAGCCTCGAGTCTTCTTGGGTATGACGTTACAAGCTTGGCACACTGTACTTGGGGAGTGTCTCCCATTCTTCTCTGCAGATCCTCTCAAGCTCTGTCAGGTTGGATGGGGAGCGTCACCGCTCAGCTATTTTCAGGTCTCTCCAGAGATGTTCGATCGGGTTCAAGTCTGGGCTCTGGCTGGGCCACTCAAGGACATTCAGAGACTTGTCCCGAAGCCACTCCTGCGTTGTCTTGGCTGTGTGCTTAGGGTCATTGTCCTGTTGGAAAGTGAACCTTCGCCCCAGTATGAGGTCGTGAGCGCACTGGAACATGTTTTCATCAAGGATCTCTCTGTACTTTGCTCCGTTCATCTTTCCCTCGATCCTGACTAGTCTTCCAGTCCCTGCCACTGAAAAACATCCACACACCATGATTCTGCCACCACCATGCTTCACGGTAGGGATGGTGCCAGGTTTCCTCCAGACGTGACGCTTGGCATTCAGGCCAAAGAGTTCAATCTTGGTTTCATCAGACCAGAGAATCTTGTCTCCAAGCGGACTGTCATGTGCCTTTTACTGAGGAGTGGCTTCCGTCTGGGCACTCTACCATAAAGGCCTGATTGGTGGAGTGCTGCAGAGATGGTTGTCCTTCTGGAAGGTTCTCCCATCTCCACAGAGGAACTCCCGAGATCTTTCAGAGTGACCATCAGGTTCTTGGTCACCTCCCTGACCAAGGCCCTTCTCCCCCGATTGCTCAGTTTGGCCGGGTGGCCAGCTCTAGGAAGCGTCTTGGTAGTTCCAAACTTCTTCCATTTAAGAATGATGGAGGCCCCTGTGTTCTTGGGGACCTTCAATGCTGCAGACATTTTTTGGTACCCTTCCCCAGATCTGTGTCTCGACAATCCTATCTCGGAGCTCTAAGGACAATTCCTTCGACCTCATGGCTTGGTTTTTGCTCTGACATGCACTGTCAATTGTGGGACCTTATATAGACAGGTGTGTGCCTTTCCAAATCATGTCCAATCAATTGAATTTACCACAGGTGGAATCCAATCAAGTTGTAGAAACATCTCAAGGATGATCAATGGAAACAGGATGCACCTGAGCTCAATTTCGAGTCTCAGAGCAAAGGGTTTGAATAGTAATGTAAATAAGGTATTTCTGTTTTGTATTTTTTATACATTTGCAAAAGTTTCTAAAAACCTGTTTTTGCTTCATCATTATGGTGTATTGTGTTTAGATTGCTGAGGATTTTTTAAAAATGTAATCCATTTTAAAATAACACTATAACGTAACAAAATGTGGAAATATTCAAAGGGTCTGAATACTTTCCGAAGGCACTGTATATTTAACAGTTTGCAGCAGCAGTGATGACTGACTGCACAAGGTATTTAATGACTGCGGATCATTGAAGATGGCAGTGTAGGCATCTTCCATGGGACTAGAGCACCAGCTATCACCACCACCAACATGCCAACAGGATTCAGTAGGACTTTTAGATCTATAGACCTGATGGTAAAGACTGTTCATTGTAAAATATAGTCCATAAAACATCACAGATACAGTAAATATATATTTTTTATGATATTACTTGTTCTGCTACGACAAAATGGACATATTTGTTCAGCTCTTCACACCTTTAATGTGTGAAACTTGGCCATGAATGCTGCTACTTCTACAACCACAGAGGTATGAGGAAGTGGTAAATGTCTCTGTCTCTATGATGGTAAATGTCTATATAACAGAGTCTGAGGAAGTGTTGACCTATACTCGGTGTGAAAACGTTTAAGGAGGGTGTTTTTGTGACCTAAACTTGTGTGAAAAACATTGATCTTCATCTTCAGACCACTCAGAGTCAATGTTAAGACTTTTCTTCTGGTGGCATCAGTGGTCTTTTGTAATGTCACTGATGTTCCATCTATATTCCCAGAATTCCTCTTCACACAGGATATACTGCCACCAATCCTGGACCACTCCATATGTCCAATGTCACTATAGTAACAATTTACAATGACACTCCCTCCTTCAACTCCATTCACCTCCTGTTGGTCCACATAGAGTTCTGGAGTATCTGACACCAAAGAAGCTCCTGAGTGATCAAGTGGGAGGTCCGAAACCCGAGGCAAGACTGAGACCAGAAAAATGCAAGTCCACTTCAAGACCATGATTGTAATTTTGTCAAATCGCCATCATAATAAGAGTTAAAAATATCCAGTATTTTTGTTTTCATATTTCAGAAGAACATATGGATTCTTTAGACATTCAGAATGGTGAAAAAATGCATGTTGAGGGCAAATAGAAGTACTCTACAAATTATTACTAACCCAAACACTGTGGGGAACATTGAGGGCCTTGTCCGCCTTCAGAGAAGGGCTAAAGATTTATATAATCATAATAATAATAATAATAATATTTTCAACAGGGGTGAAAGTATATATATATATTTTTAAGCCTAGGTGTAATCATAGAATTACATATACAATCCTTATTATTTTAATATATTATCTCTGTGGCCTAGTAGTCTAGGACTAGTAAAGATTAGTCATATCACCTTTAACATGCATTACCTTTTAATGTGGCATTAATACAACCAGTCATCTGGTTGTCAAACAATCACTTCAAAAAGGGGCTCCTGTAGGTTACCCGCGAACGTTCCTGCAATCACAAAATAATTCCAGCATCCAAACAGTGCACTGTGCACCTGCAATTTGATGAATGAAAACAGACATCGGTTTCAAAACCCCTACGTTTATTGTAATGGAAATCTGCTATTGTCATTAGGTCTACACCCGTAGACTGAATTGATGCGTCCACATTTTCATGTGACTAGGACACCAGATATCACCACCACCAACATGCCCATAGGAATCTGTAGGACTGTTAGATCTATGGTACTGATGGTGAAAGACTATGTTTATTGTAAAATATTGTCCATATATAAGATATTAAGATTTTTTTATGATCCTTTTTGTGCTGCTATGACTAAATGGAAATATTTGTTCAGCTCTTCACACCTTTAATGTGTGAACCTTGGCCATACAAGAGTAGAAGACTGCTACTTCAACAAGCCACAGAGGTAAGAGGAAGTGGTAAATGTGTCTGTCTCTATGATGGTAAATGTCTCTATGACAACAGTGTCTTGGCCTATACTCTGTGTGAAGATGTTTAAGGTGGGTGTTTTTGTGCCCTAAAGTCTAGTGTTAAAAACAGAAAATGGTATCTTTCTTCATATTTCTATTGCCATCCATTTGGAACAGTAAGAGTTAAATACAGCTGAATAAGTTATAATTACCTCATGTTGTCCTTCACCTTGCCCCCCTCAGGTCCTTGGACTGTGTTGTCAGTCTGAACAGGCTCAGCTGTTGGAGAGAAAGAGGATTGTTCAGTGGTTGGAGCTTGGGTTGCTGTGAGGTAAAAACAACAATGGTATTATGACTGGTGTACCAGAGAGACACAGGGTAGACTGAACTGTAACAAGACATTGTGGCTAAACTATGACCTTCTTGTCCAGCTTATTTACCCCAACATGTGAATTTTAACTGGTATTGTAGGGCCACCGTACGTATTCCCAAAAGCTTTGAATCAGGTTACAATCCCATTTCTTTCACATGAAAAGCAAGAAAGACTGGGTAAACCAGGTAAATACTTAATTATACAGTATCTGATTGCTCTCTACTCACTGGTCATAGTGGTGGTACTTTGTGTGGTGGTTTGTCGTCTGACAGTGATGTGAACAGGCATTATAAGGTCTCCCAGTTCACACCTGTACCAGCCAGTGTTCTCCATCTTCAGACCACTCATAGTCACCGTTAAGATGTTTCTTCTGGTAGCATCAGTGGTCTGCTGTAGGGTCACTGATGTTCCATCTATAGTCCCAGAATTCCCCCAGACACAGTAGACACTGCCCCCAATCCTGCACCACCACTTCCTATTTCTAGTGTCACTATAGTAACAATTTACAATGACACTCCCTCCTTCAACTCCAGTCACCTCCTGTTGGTTCACATAGAGTTCTGGAGTACCTGAACACAGAGGTACACACACCAAATAAGGTCCTGAGTGATCAAGTGGTTTTTTTGTAACAACTGACAACAAATATCATAATTATGATATGATGGATAGAGAACAGAAAGCAGACATATACCAACATTCCTCATGTCAACATGAACAATAATAGTGAGACCAGTAAATGAAACCAGAACACCAGTCAAGTAATCATATGGAAGAGTTGCAGGGATCTTACCTGGAGTCACAGATAGGTGGAATCCTTCTATCCTGACGTCTGCTCCAACATTGATCTCTACAGCACAACAGTACCATTCAGAGTCCTCACTCCCCAGATCAGTCATGGTCACAGTGAAGGTTAGCTGGTTGATGTCATCAGAGATTAAGGCCTTAGCTGTGCTCTTAGGAAGGTAAGTGCGTACAACAGGAGAGCAACTACTGAAATAATATCCTTTACACCAATATTTCACATGGGTTTTGTATTCCTGATGATAGGGACATGGGATGGTGATGGAGCCTCCTGTCTTCACAGACACACGATAAGCACCTGTAGACACAACAACAGAAAACACATTAGATTGGAATTCAAGCAAATTCTCACAACAGGAAAATGACATTCCATCTGGACTATAACACACATAATACAGGAAGTGTTATTGATAAGACAAGCTACTGCTCCTGTCTTCAGAGTGTCAGCATGTGTCCAGTCCCAGTCCCTGACCTCAACTTCAGCACTTCATAGAAACATGTTAACCCTTTTGTTATTTTTATTGGCTCAAAAATATATTTTTGTTTGTACAGCTTTTTTCCCGTTACATTTACATTCTACACATATCTTATATACATGGCACTTTTGTTACACAGTAGTTACATGACAAAGTATAGTTATTAGATATACATTACATCTGGATAGATAGTACTTAAACACATCCAAATACATTATATATAGTGTTTTCAGTCATAACTATTATACAGTGTCTTCAGAAAGTATTAATACCCCGTGACTTATTCCACATTTTGTTGTTATAGTCTGAATTCAAAATATATTCAATATTTAAAAAAATCTCACCCATCTATAAACAATACCCCATAATGACAAAGTGAAAACATGTTTTTAGAAAATGTTGCACATGTATTCAAAATGAAATATAGAAATACCTAATGTACATAAGTATTCACACCCCTGAGTCAATACATGTTAGAATCACCTTTGGCAGCGATTACAGCTGTGAGTCTTTCTGGGTAAGTCTCTAAGAGCTTTCCATACCTGGCTTATGCAACATTTGCCCATTATTCTTTTGAAAATTCTTCAAGCTCTGTCAAATTGTTGATCATTGCTATACAACCATTTTCAGGTCTTGCCATAGATTTTAAAGTAGATTTACGTCAAAACTGTAACTCGGCCTCTCAGGAACATTCAATGTCTTCTTGTAAAGCAACTCCAATGTACACTACATGGCCAAAGGTATGTGGACACCCCTTCAAATTAGTGGATTTGGCTATTTCAGCCACACCCGTTGCTTACAGGTGTATAAAATCGAGCCGACAGCCATGCAATCTCCATAGAAAATATTGGCAGTAGAATGGCCCATACTGAAGAGCTCAGGGACTTTCAATGTGGCACCGTCATAGGATGCCACCTTTCCAACAAGTTAGTTCGTCAAACTTCTTCGAGATCGGTGTGGAAGAACTTGACTGGCCTGCACAGAGCCCTGACCTCAACATCAGTGCCCGACCTCACTAATGCTCTTTTGGCTGAATAGAATCAAGTCCCCGTTGCAATGTTCCAAAATCTAGTGGAAAGCCTTCCCAGAAGAGTGTTATAGCAGCAAAGGGGGGACCAACTCTATATTAATGACCATGATTTTGGAATGAGATGTTCAACGAGCAGGTGTCTATAGACTTTTGGTCAAGTAGTGTAGATTTGTCCTTGGGTTTTAGGTTATTGTCCTGGTGAAAGGTGAATTCATCTCCCAGTGTCTGGTGGAAAGCAGACTGAACAAGATTTTCCTCTAGGACTTTGACTGTGCTTGGCTCCATTCTGTTTCTTTTTATCCTGAAAAACTCCACAGTCCTTAATGATTACAAGCATACCTATAACATGAAGCAACCACCACTATGCTTGAACATATCGAGAGTGGTACTCAGTAATGTGTTGCATTGTATTTGCCCCAAACATAAAACTTTATGTTCTAGACAAAGAAATAATTGCTTTGCCTAATTTTTTGCAGTATTATTTTTGTGCTTTGTTGTAAATAGGATGCATGTTTTGGAATATTTAAATTCTGTACAAGCTTCCTTATTTTCATTCTGTCAATTAGGTTAGTATTGTGAAGTAATTACAAAGTTGTTGATCCATCCTCAGTTTTCTCCAATCACAGCCATTAAACTCAAACTGTTTTAAAGTCACCGTTGGCCTCATGGTGAAATCCCTTGAGTGGTTTCCTTCCTCTCCGGCAACTGATTTAGGAAGGACGCCTGTATCTATGTAGTGACTGGGTGTATTGATACACCATCCGAAGTGTAATTCATACTTTCACCATGCTCAAAAGGAAATTCAATGTCTGCTTTTGAAAAACATTTCTACCAATAGGTGCCCTTCTTTGCGAGGCATTGGAAAATCCTCCTGGTCTTTGTGGTTGAATCTGTGTTTGAAATGCACTGCTTGACTGAGGGACCTTTCAGATAATTGTGTAGGGTACAGAGATGAGGTAGTCTTGCAAAAATCATGTTAAACACAATTATTACTCACAGAGTGAGTCCATAAATTTTTTTATGTGACTTGTTAAGCAAATGTTTACTCCTGGATTTACATAGAAGTGCCATAACAAAGCGGTTGAATACTTATTGAATGAAGACATTTCAGTTTTTCATTTTTAATTAATTTGCAAACATTTCTAAAAACATAATTCCACTTTGACATTATGGGGTATTGTGTAGGCCAGTGACCAACAAAATCTCAATTTAATAAATTTTGAATTCAGGCTGTAACACAACAACATTTGGAAAAGGTCAAGGGGTGTGAATACTTTCTGAAGGCACTGTAGATCATGGGCTTCTTAATCCAACCCTCAGCTGCTCTTAGCCCACCCATCTCTGTAAACCACCCTCTTATGATTTCATGTGCCATATCTATTGAGCAAAAATGTAAACGAAACATGCAACAATTTCAACGATTTTACTGAGTTACAGTTCATATAAGCAAGCCACCCACTAGGGAGCCAGGCCCAGTCAATCAGAATGAGTTTTCCCCACAAAAGGGCTTTATTACAGACAGAAATACTTAGTTTCATCAGCTGTCCAGGTGGCTGGTCTCAGACGATCCCGCAGGTGAAGAAGTCGGATGTTGAGGTCCTGTGCTGGCGTGTTTACACGTGGTCTGCGGTTGTGAGGCCGGTTGGACGTACTACTAAATTCTCTAAAACGGCGTTGGAGGCGGCTTATGGTAGAGTAATTAACATTGAATTATCTGGCAACAGCTCTGGTGGACATTCCTGCAGTCAGCATGCCAATTGCACACTTCCTCAAAACTTGAGGCATCTGTGGCATTGTGTTGTGTGACAAAACTGCACATTGTAGAGTGGCCTTTTATTGTCCCCAGCACAACGTGCACCTGTGTAATGATCATGCTGTTTAATCAGCTTCTTTATATGCCACACCTACCAGGTGGATGGATGTAAACAAATTGTGAACAAAAATTTATATGAATTCGATC